AACAATTTCCTGATATACAGAACAATTTCCTAATATACTCTTACCAGAACAATTTCCTGATATAGCATTACCATTTTGCACCCTCCTCCTCAAGCCTCTTATGTTGTCTCGCAGAATGAGTGCTAAATATTCTTTCACATGCTCGTTCTACGTACTTCCTAGATCCTCAGTAAAAAGGGTTTTCAAACGGCAAATATATGAAGCCAGAAAAGGAAAAGAGGATGATCTCGGTCTCGATCCTGCTTAGCTGCCCCCTGCCTTGCTGCGTAAGTTTCTTCTCAATTTCCCTCTAGTAAAACATTCCATCTATCTCTCGCAGCAATCTAGCATACTGGGCGAGCTGGGCAATATTTATTGCCGACATCTGCGCCATTTTTTCATTCCTCGGTTCATATGCCCGGCCTTTAAACTGCTCCTTTTCCGAGTAAAAAAACTACCACTGTGACACTCAAAACACATAGTGCTCTCTACCACACGCCCCTTGCAATATGATCGGCGCAGTTCCGCTAGAAGGGGGGGGGGGCATTCTGTACTTTCTCTACTTCTCATCGTCGTGTCGAAACATCCAGCAGAGATTTGGGAATTCTTGTAGAGCCTTATAGTGATACCAGTATATTTCTCTGGAAATTACTTGTAAAGGATACCTGCAAACTCACGAAAAGGAATGAGTACGAGGATAGGAAGTAGTGGAAGTGTAACACCCCCTCCAGGAGCCAAACTGCACCATTTTTTTCTGCGGGTCTTGTCCTGCAGTGCTCGTCTCAATAGAACTTCGTCCTTACTCGCCTCACAAATACCAGAATAAATTCTTCACAGCCCACTATGTACTGTTTTAGTACTTAAAAACAAGTAAGAGGGCATCTGTAAGTTAACGGAAGTGTACCACCTACCGCTGCTGCCTCCTTTGATTTGCTCTTATCGCTGATGATCCTGAACACAAAATCCAACTGACAAACTATACAGTGCTCGTCCTCACAGATATGTGATAGAATAACGTTACGGAGAGCCGGAATATGAAACAACATCTGCAACAGAACATTTAAATCAATTTGTCTGATTCTCAAGCATTCACTACACTTCTCAAAATAGAAGAATTGAGATAATAGAGTAGAAAATGGTGTCATTTAAAGGTACTAAGACCTCTAATAAACACCTGATTTCCATTATGAGCAAAGGATCGTACCAGCACTATCGGGTTGATAATGGCGCTGGACGCGACGTTCTCCATTGGCACATAGTCTGTCTTGTTGTATTTCAAAACAGCATTATCTTC